CGACGTAATAAGCGCCCACGGCAACATTTGCTAATATATTGGCTAGTGAACAATCCAAATTAGCAACCTTCCAATTGATCAATGTACGCAAGATTTATTTATTTGCGTATAATACGCACTCGTGTGTTATATGCACCCTTAATAATGGGCAATTAAATTCTGGAAAAATATATCTGTCGTATATAAACATTTCAGGCTGTCAGCATAAACCACAAAATTTATCTTTTAACCCTTTTTTTCTCACCAAAATAATATTCTACTAAGAGCCCCCTATTTCTACTTTTGAGAGCTCCCTGGGCACTTATTACGTCGAACACGGTACCAGTAAATATAAATGGTGCAACTTAACACGTAAGTACAGGTCTCCAAGACAAACAAAATTTATAAAATGGTATAAAAATAGATTTCTGACTATCAAAGGAGCCATGTCAAAAGATCATTCCAGAAAATATACCAGAGTACAATTGTATTACATACTGAACTAAAAATAAGTTAGGCATCATGAATATTTTGGGATATTTTGTAGTGAAGACTGAGTTTCTCAAAATGTGTATGGCATATAAAAATATTTCAGGATTCCTAACTTTTTTGTTCAGAATATTTTGTACCTGAAGAAAAAAAAGAAAGACAGATAAAATGGCTACAAGACTTTGCTTTTTCAACACAGGAGGAATTTGTTTCGACATGGTCCAGTGTTACTGGTAGGATAGCTACATTGTTGTGACCTTTAGCAGTAAAATTAGAAAACAGGTTTCATACATAGTTAATCGTAGTTAATCGGTAGTGAATACTGTGTATTTGGGAAAAAACTGACACACAAACAGTTTACAATGAATCGAGGTGGGCGTGTCCAGTACATACACAGGTCCCTGGGGTACCGAGGTGGGCGTGTCCAGTACATACACTGGTCCCTGGGGTACCGAGGTGGGCGTGTCCAGTACATACACTGGTCCCTGGGGTACCGACATGGGCGTGTCCAGTACATACACAGGTCCCTGGGGTACCGAGGTGGGCGTGTCCAGTACATACACTGGTCCCTGGGGTACCATGGTGGGCGTGTCGGATACATACATGGGTCCCTGGGGTACCGAGGTGGGAGTGTCGGGTACATACACTAGTCCCTGGGGTACCGAGGTGGGCGTGTCCAGTACATACATGGGTCCCTGGGGTACCGAGGTGGGAGTGTCGGGTACATACATGGGTCCCTGGGGTACCGAGGTGGGCATGTCCAGTACATACACTGTATCCCTGGGGTACCGAGGTTGGAGTTTCGGGTACATACATGGGTCCCTGGGGTACCGAGGTGGGAGTGTCGGGTACATACATGGGTCCCTGGGGTACCGAGGTGGGAGTGTCGGGTACATACATGGGTCTCTGGGGTACCGAGGTGGGAGTGTCGGGTACATACATGGGTCTCTGGGGTACCGAGGTGGGAGAGTCCCGTACATACCCTGTATCCCTGGGGTACTGAGATGGGCGTGTCGGGTACATACATGGGTCCCTGGGGTACCCAGGTGGGAGTGTCGGGTACATACACTGTATCCCTGGGGTACCGAGTAGGAATGTCGGGTACATACATGGGTCCCTGGGGTACCGAGGTGGGAGTGTCGGGTACATACATGGGTCCCTGGGGTACCGAGGTGGGAGTGTCGGGTACATACACTGGTCCCTGGGGTACCGAGGTGGGCGTGTCCAGTACGTACACTGGTCCCTGGGGTACCGAGGTGGGCGTGTCCAGTACGTACACTGGTCCCTGGGGTACCGAGGTGGGCGTGTCCAGTACGTACACTGGTCCCTGGGGTACCGAGGTGGGCGTGTCCAGTACGTACACTGGTCCCTGGGGTACCGAGGTGGGCGTGTCCAGTACGTACACTGGTCCCTGGGGTACCGAGGTGGGCGTGTCCAGTACGTACACTGGTCCCTGGGGTACCGAGGTGGGCGTGTCCAGTACATACACTGGTCCCTGGGGTACCGAGGTGGGCGTGTCCAGTACATACACAGGTCCCTGGGGTACCGAGGTGGGCGTGTCCAGTACATACACTGGTCCCTGGGGTACCAAGGTGGGCGTGTCGGGTACATACATGGGTCCCTGGGGTACCGAGGTGGGAGTGTCGGGTACATACACTGTATCCCTGGGGTACCGAGGTGGGCGTGTCCAGTACATACACTAGTCCCTGGGGTACCGAGGTGGGAGTGTCGGGTACATACACTAGTCCCTGGGGTACCGAGGTGGGCGTGTCCAGTACATACATGGGTCCCTGGGGTACCGATTTGGGAGTTTTGGGTACATACATGGGTCCCTGGGGTACCGAGGTGGGCGTGTCCAGTACATACACTGTATCCCTGGGGTACCGAGGTAGGCGTGTCGGGTACATACACTGTATCCCTGGGGTACCGAGGTGGGAGTGTCGGGTACATACATGGGTCCCTGGGGTACCGAGGTGGGAGTGTCGGGTACATACACTGTATCCCTGGGGTACCGAGTGGGAGTGTCGGGTACATACATGGGTCTCTGGGGTACCGAGGTGGGAGTGTCGGGTACATACATGGGTCCCTAGGGTACCGAGTGGGAGTGTCGGGTACATACACTGTATCCCTGGGGTACCGAGTGGGAGTGTCAGGTACATACATGGGTCCCTGGGGTACCGAGGTGGGAGTGTCGGGTACATACACTGTATCCCTGGGGTACCGAGTGGGAGCGTCGGGTACATACATGGGTCCCTGGGGTACCGAGTGGGAGTGTCGGGTACATACACTGTATCCCTGGGGTACCGAGTGGGAGTGTCGGGTACATACATGGGTCCCTGGGGTACCGAGGTGGGAGTGTCGGGTACATACACTGTATCCCTGGGGTACCGAGTGGGAGTGTCGGGTACATACATGGGTCCCTGGGGTACCGAGTGGGAGTGTCGGGTACATACATGGGTCCCTGAGGTACCGAGTGGGAGTGTCGGGTACATACACTGTATCCCTGGGGTACCGAGTGGGAGTGTCGGGTACATACATGGGTCCCTGGGGTACCGAGGTGGGAGTGTCGGGTACATACACTGTATCCCTGGGGTACCGAGTGGGAGTGTCGGGTACATACATGGGTCCCTGGGGTACCTAGGTGGGAGCGTCGGGTACATACATGGATCCCTGGGGTACCGAGTGGGAGTGTCGGGTACATACATGGGTACCTGGGGTACCGAGGTGGGAGTGTCGGGTACATACACTGTATCCCTGGGGTACCGAGGTGGGAGCGTCGGGTACATACAAGGGTCCCTGGGGTACCGAGGTGGGAGTGTCGGGTACATACACTGTATCCCTGGGGTACCGAGTGGGAGGTTTTGGGTACATACATGGGTCCCTGGGGTACCGAGGTGGGAGTGTCGGGTACATACATGGGTCCCTGGGGTACGGAGGTCACTCGTGGGAGTGTCTGGTACAGACATGGGTCCCTGAGGTACCGAGGTGGGAGTGTCGGGTACATACATGGGTCCCTGAGGTACCGAGGTGGGAGTGTCGGGTACATACATGGGTCCCTGGGGTACGGAGGTCACTGGTGGGAGTGTCGGGTACATACATGGGTCCCTGGGGTACAGAGGTGGGCGTGTATGTACTGGACACGCCCACCTCGGTACCCTGTGGGTGTGTGAGGTACATACACTGGTGGGTTCTGATACCATACTGTCTCGGTTCTACATATTATGTCCCGGGGGGTACCGAGGTCGGTGTGTCCAACAAATGGTCAAATCTTTACAGACATGCCTATTTCGCACCATCAGCAGTTCAAAGTCAAATAATTGAAGCAATACAAGTCAATACTGAAGTGGAGGTAAAGTAAAATACCAAAATAAAATCTATCGAAAAAAACATCAAAATCGGGGCACATCTTTGGTGAGCAGCAGCATTACCCCATGATGAACACTTCAAAAAGTAAGGCCTCGTATTATGGAAGGGTGATAAGACCGTGAAAGGCGAAACATCATTATCTGAATGTGATTAATATACAGTAAACTACGTTCATAACGAACACACTTATAACAAACTTATTCTTTAGTCCCTGCCATTTGTTGTACAGATGCTGTATATATGCTCATAACGTTATCATGAACTTAAATTAGTGGTCCATTTGAGTTTGTTATAACCATAGTTTACTGTACTACTCAAAAGAAGTTAAAGGACACCCGATTTTTTCCACGACAGATAAACTTTCCCTTTACAATCCAAACAGAGAGCCATGGGGTGTAGGGGGCACTTGCTGGAGCAGAGTGAGGGAGTGAGTATAGTTTAACGCCACTTTTAGCAATATTCTAGCAATATCACAGCAGGGGACACCAGAAATGGGCTTCACACATTGTACCCATGTCGGGAATCGAACCCGGGTCTTCGGCGTGACGAGCGAACGCTTTAACCACTAGGCTACCCGACCGCCCCTGCTGGAACAGAGGGCTTATTACCGTACAGTACATTAAATATGGCACTTAACCATTAATAACCATTGTTCAGAATCCATTCAAGATAAGAATACTTCGATACACATGTGCAATGATTTGTCATGGAAAATGTTGCCCTTTGAAATGAAAATGAATTTTTGAATGAAATTTTTAAATATTGCAAATGATGAAATTCTGGGTTATAATTGTGATGTGTGAAAAAAACAAAACAGAAATATATCCACAAATAAATGTTCAGAATGAAGCTAGAAACACTCTGCATGAGCAGGCGACTTTTCAACAATACACTTACAATATTCGACGTAATAAGCGCCCTGCTCTAATAAGCGCCCACGGCGACATTAGCTAATATATTGGCTGGTGAACAATCCCAATTAGCACCCCTTCCGATTGATCAATGTACACAAGACTTATTTATTCGTGTATAATACGCACTCGTGTGATTATATGCACCCTTAATTATGGGCAATTAAATTCTGGAAAAATATATCTGTCGTACATAAACACTTCAGACTGTCAGCATAAACCATGAAATTTATCTTTCAACTCTTTCAATTTTTCCACCAAAATAATATTCTAATAAGAGCCCCCTATTTCTAATTTTGAGAGCGCCCTGGGCGCTTATTACGTCGAATACGGTAGTCCACTTTCAGATGCAAATGACATTCTGGGTGACTCTTTGAAGAAAAATACTAAAAGTTAGCTGACTGTAAAGGTCGATCCTGTTAGTCGCCTTTTACGGCAAGCATGGGTTGCTGAAGACCTATTCTACCCGGGATCTTCACGGGTCTCATATGTATTCACAGGTGATGGAGGAACATAGTGTACATGTGACTTCTTGACGATGATGGAAATGTCAGTATCATATACACCGGACTACCAGGAGTGCTTAATTTCACAAAGGATCACTGCATCATGAAAGCATCCGTATCTACAGTAGGTTTACAAATTCGTCACTTAAAACACTGTATCAAGGGAAGTCTATTTTTAAAAACAATCACCTATCCTGGTGTTCTCCTAAAATAAAATAAAATATTTGACATTAAAGGTTTGGGTATTTTTTAGAAAAAAATGTTTTGGTTTTTCTTTATTTATTGAAATTAGATTGCCTAACCATTGCCGTTATCCAGGGAATTATATTTGGGCTGGGACAGGTAACTCAGATACTCGGGTAGGGTGGGTACGGAGAAGGACCCAGAAACCGTGGTTAGTCACGTGATATATTATTTAATGACAAAAATTCCCTTATTCCAGGGTTACACAACAAATCACTAATATTTGCGTTTCTTTCTGACTATGCACATATTCCTTGCACATGTTTGAATAAAGATACAACTTCCATCACCTTCAGTCAGTTACTTGACTCTTCTTTCAATTATGATGATGCGGGCGGTGCTTAAGAACCAAGACCATTTTCTTTAGCCTTACAGATCAAAATAACCTCTGTACTTTGAGGGCTCAGACCGGTACACAAGATCTCGACCATGGGGCAGGTGTCAATGGACTCAAGCCCTACATCATGGACTGCACAAGGGAGATAACTCACATCTTCACTTCTCCACATCATGTGCAGTCATGGAAAAGAATGGGAAAATCATTTCAACAGAGATGATGCTTATGAAACAGAAAAAATGTTGACTGTGTGCGTTATTCTTTTGAAATCGGGAACTCCAGTCAGGGTTGAGTTTTGAGATGCAGCTACCCGGTACCCGTCACAGCACAATTACTTCATGCAACTGGATCTGTCCGGTACAACACTGACACTGCAAATATTGACTGACCAACACAAACATATCAAGGCAGTCAGTATAAACCACATAAATGACAATGAAATTATGACAAAATATGAAAACAATATGCTTCAACTATGATAACAATAAATCAATGACACGTCAATCTGAGACTTACCGATGTCAAGCTAAGACACGATGGCATCAATCTCAGACACAATGATATCAATCAAAGACACAATGATATCAATCTCAGACACAATGATATCAATCTCAGACACAATATCAATCAAAGACACAATGATATCAATCTCAGACACAATGATATCAATCAAAAACACAATGATATCAAATTAAGACACAATGAAATCGATCTAAGACACAATGAAATCGATCTAAGACACAATGATATCGATCAAAGACACAATGATATCAAATTAAGACGCAATGAAATCGATCTAAGACACAATGATATCCTTCTAAGACACAATGAAGTTGATCTAAGACACAATGAAATTGATCTAAGACACAACGATATCCATCTAAGACACAATGGTATTCAGTCTGAATGATGTAGCAGTATTATGCGACAAATAAGCACCTTTACGCACACATTAATCATTTCTTCACAGTGAAACTTCTAACCAACATTTTTCAAGTAGGTTAACAAAATATTTGGATTTCACAAAACAAGACATCTACTAAAATATTTACCAAATAACTAACAATAAAAAGACTTTCATTCTAATTAATGCTGTTATTCCTCTATTCCTTAGTTCAATAACATTCAGTAGTATCTTCCACAGAACTGGTTTGGAAATGTATCCTCTAATGACAGCTTTCCTGTAACCATTGTAACGCACGGGCAAATATACACACATCTAAATAATAAAAAAAAGTTGGAAAATTCACATCATCACATTCAACAATAGACCTCCACAAAAAATATCTCTCAGTTACCTCCCCTTTAGCTCTGGAGGTTCTACTCTGAGCATATTTGACTGTGGTTGTGCAGAAAACAGTCTCAGTAGCAGGTATCTAAGAGAAGATAACTCCAGTCTCCTCTTCTCACTGGCCAATAGAGTACTGTTATCATAACTCAGGCATTCTGCCCAAAGTTCCAAAGGGGAGTCACTCAAGAAATACAACAGCACACCAAATCAAATCGTTGGGAACACTTCACCTGAATCAAATTATCACAATCTAAGCACAATGAATTTTAATGATATATAACAAACAATGCACTTGAGTACATCATGTGCACATTAGATCACCCTCAAACTTAGGTCATCAAACTTTTGATACTCAATATCAATGTGATTACAGTGTTCGAAATCAAGTCCAGGGAGCCTTGTCATACAAAACACTAACATTCAAACGTAAAAGATTTTGGGGGTGCCCTGCATTCAAATAAATCAGGGATGGAAATTAACAAAGAACATCTCCTATCCCGAAGTGATCACATTCAGCAATTGCCCCCAAAATGTCTGAAATTCTTAGGATTCGTAGTCCTGATAATGGCTTCGACATTTACCATGCCTCCAACACGGGTACCGCTAACTTCCATCTCCGCAACACACATGTACCAAGGAAGAAGATCTCCAACACGTGTACCGCTAACTTCCATCTCCGCAACACACATGTACCAAGGAAGAAGAGCTCCAACACGGGTACCGCTAACTTCCATCTCCGCAACACACATGTACCAAGGAAGAAGAGCTCCAACACGGGTACCGCTAACTTCCATCTCCGCAACACACATGTACCAAGGAAGAAGAGCTCCAACACGGGTACCGCTAACTTCCATCTCAGCAACACACATGTACCAAGGAAGAAGAGCTCCAACACGGGTACCGCTAACTTCCATCTCCGCAACACACATGTACCAAGGAAGAAGAGCTCCAACACGGGTACCGCTAACTTCCATCTCCGCAACACACATGTACCAAGGAAGAAGAGCTCCAACACGGGTACCGCTAACTTCCATCTCCGCAACACACATGTACCAAGGAAGAAGAGCTCCAACACGGGTACCGCTAACTTCCATCTCCGCAACACACATGTACCAAGGAAGAAGAGCTCCAACACGGGTACCGCTAACTTCCATCTCCGCAACACACATGTACCAAGGAAGAAGATCTCCAACACGGGTACCGCTAACTTCCATCTCCGCAACACACATGTACCAAGGAAGAGCTACAACACGGGTACCGCTAACTTCCATCTCCGCAACACACATGTACCAAGGAAGAAGAGCTCCAACACGGGTACCGCTAACTTCCATCTCCGCAACACACATGTACCAAGGAAGAAGAGCTCCAACACGGGTACCGCTAACTTCCATCTCCGCAACACACATGTACCAAGGAAGAAGATCTCCAACACGGGTGCCGCTAACTTCCATCTCCGCAACACACATGTACCAAGGAAGAAGAGCTCCAACACGGGTACCGCTAACTTCCATCTCCGCAAGACACATGTACCAAGGAAGAAGAGCTCCAACACGGGTACCGCTAACTTCCATCTCCGCAACACACATGTACCAAGGAAGAAGAGCTCCAACACGGGTACCGCTAACTTCCATCTCCGCAACACACATGTACCAAGGAAGAAGAGCTCCAACACGGGTACCGCTAACTTCCATCTCCGCAACACACATGTACCAAGGAAGAAGAGCTCCAACACGGGTACCGCTAACTTCCATCTCCGCAACACACATGTACCAAGGAAGAAGACCTCAAGGGCCGACGGTCCCCTTAATTTCCAACACTGAATAATGATGTGAGTTGTATCTACCTTAAGACTAATGATTGCTATACCTTGAAAGTCTATTGCACGATTAAGTACATGTAAAAACAGTACAAATAAAGCACTTTCTGTTACCACGGGTTACCACATTCTATTGTGACTCATACATGACAATAAAGAGTAAAGTGTTCCAGTGTATCCAAGCACCATGGACCATTTCTGGGGCTACATCTCGTATCAAGTTACAGATTTTCAACACGCTGTATTGGAGTATTTAGCATCAACTGGTCCAGTTCGTCTGAATGTACGCTCACATGACAATAGTCATGAGACATTCCTGTGACGTCTGGTATTATGTGATCAGCCACTGAGAAATAGACTACAGAGTAGTGTACTAGGCATCATATCCAAACTAAGGCATCACAGTTAAAGAACGGATGCAGATGCTTAAAGAGCATCTTGTGCAGACCCAGTAAGTTGGACTAAGTCGTTAAAGGCCATGTGTAAGTCTAAACTGCTGGGTAAAAGAAAGTACCAGTATACAGCCATGTTTGATAGTGGCTAAATATGAGTGAGTGAGTGAGTGAGTGAGTTGGGTTTAACGCCGCTTTTAACAGTATTCCAGTCATATCACGACGTGTCAGCTTAATGTGGGAGGAAGGCCCGAAGTGATGCAGGTCTCAGACGTTTACCACGTCGGTGAAACCCGCAAGCACGGGTATGGTGCTGACAAACCTAGACACATAATCGGGGCGAACCGGGATTCGAACCCACAATCATAGGTTTCTGGCATGCCCAAGGGACGCAACTCTGCACAGTGAATCGCGGCGCCTTAGACGACTTGGCCCCCGTGCCCCCTGCTAAATGTGAAACAAACAAGATGGTTATTCGATGATGATGCATTTGATGCAGATATCATAGTTGTGTCCTGGACCTCAGTTTGCAGTGTTTCAGTGACTGTTTCAGCCTAGTGAGGTTTTGATGTCTCTGAATTGTAGGTCAAATCCCATTTTCATGTGTACACTTTCTTTTGCCCAGCAGTTTATTAACTCAAACTTTATAATGAAGATGAATCTGGCAGTTTAGGATGACTGAGTTACAAAGAAATACTGTTTCAAAACTGACACTGACTACATCAAGACTGGAAATGTTTATAAGACCACGATGGAAACTCCCCTTTAAGTAATGAGTGAGTGAGTGAGTGAGTATGGTTTTACGCCGCTTTTAGCAATATTCCAGCAATATCACGGCGGGGGACACCAGAAATGGGCTTCACACATTTTACCCATGTCGGGAATCGAACCCGGGTCTTCGGCGTGACGAGCGAACGCTTTAACCACCCCTCCCCTTTAAGTAACAGACACTTAAGGAATAACTAGCTATCAGAGGTACGAAGTACTTTCAGAATTAGTTATGGAATGACAGGTAACCAGACATTCTGGAGGAACTACCTTGAGTCTTTAGTCAACGTCACAATAATGATGGCAGTGTTCAAAGTTAAAACTGAAAGTCAAAGGGTCCTCGTCATAACCCTAATGTTAAAAGTTAGATATCTAGGGGTAGGAGTGGAACGATATATCAAACTATCGATGTATAGCAATACAATCACAAGATTGAAACATAATCGGGGCGAACCGGGATTCGAACCCACAATCATAGGTTTCTGGCGTGCCCAAGGGACGCAACTCTGCACAGCGAATCGCGGCGCCTTAGACGACTGGGCCACCCGTGCCCCCCTATTGTAATGAAGGCCTGAGGGAAGTGATCTGTCAAAACTTACAGTTGTTGCCAATTGTTTCTCTGATGTTCACACAAAGGGGGTAAAGTGATTGTATATATTCTTTTAGAAGTGATTTTCTGACACATTGCTCAAACCTCCTAAGATTTTTTAAAACTTTACTGGTGTTAAACTAAGAGTGTTTATAAGATTTCTAATTTTTCAAATTCAAACATATCAATATTGCCAAATTTAAATTCATGTGCAGCCACTTTTTTTCATGTTCCCGTGATTTAGCTCGAAACTAAAAGAAACTTTCATGATTTTATCAACCTTTGAGAGAACAATTCTATATCATTATCAAATTTTGAAAAAAGTTCTTTAGAACATTTTGGATGACAATCAGTCAATGTTCTGTAAAATAAACCAATCTTATAAACTCTATTCAAACAACAGTAAAATTTCCAGCCAGCCGGCATTGCCAATGGACACCATCTTGAGAGGGCAGAATGCTTATTACGTACAACCTAGGTCTGTCTTAAAGCTCCTTGTTGAGAACCCAGTTGGCAAAGCAGCAATCTTTAAAACCAAATAAGTTACATTTGTCTTCTAGCAAGGGTGCGGTATTATCCGTAAATTGAGGTTTATTCTTTCCACGATACGTATCACAATATCATTTTATTATGTTTGATATATAGGGTGATTTCTAATAGCGATTATAATCATGTGTTTGTCATGTATTTTTTACTAAATACCTTCGCTGTCCTGCAGCATGCATCAGGTGCCCCAAGATGTCTGTGTATTTATTGACTGAGTAAACATCATGTTGTACCAGCACCTGTTCCATTTATGAACTTTAATTTACACCTTAATGTATCAGAATGCTTCTGAATTCAAAATTTAGAGTTAAACAATATATTGTGAAACGTATCGCAATACGGCCTTGTGCATAGGAAAATATTGTGATACACTTTTAAACTTCCCATCCCTATCCCATCCCATCCCTATCTTCTAGCATATTTCAAAACTGAACCGCTGAGATCTCCTGATGCACCAGCTATCAGGATGTTACCCTAGATCCCGGTTGCCACTTTCCCTGGATAAATTACAACACACAAATGTCTGTTAAAAAATTTGGCCCTTACTATCCAATGACATTATAAGGCAGTGCTTTCAATGCAGAACGGTAAAGGGAAAAGTGGGTATTCCTCATCTTCGAAGCGCAATCATAAGAAACTTAGAGTCCAGTCAATTTCTGTTTTCAAATGGTTGCTGATGTGTTATATGGTCCGCCCATCTAACCTATCAAAGGCCAGATCTATAATCATCCCTGCCCTTGCAATATTAAAATCAGATATTGAAAAAAAAAAGCCATACCACAATTCGTATCTACAGTGAAAATACAAATTCAGCAACATTCATCAAGCATTCATAATTAGCCTATTGTGACAGTAACCATGGTAACAAGCAGCAAAACAATTTCAATAATCGATGAGTATTTATCGAGCCTGCTTTCTGCATTAGCAAGAAGCATCAATGATTGAGCTTTGATTGATTATCTGTGATGTATTTTTGTATCTGTGACCTTTTGCTCTCTGACCCCTGTGACCTTTGGTCTTCTGACCTCTGCGACCTAACCACAACCACAGTGAAACTGCTTTGTTGAGTCTTTGACGTCGTCATAGCGACAACCAGCACACACAGTATGGAACCATTTGTCACAGTCATCACACTGGACCTGAAAAGTAAAACATAAACAATAAAAACAGTGAGCTGAAATAATGATATTTTATGCTACTTCAAACAGTATTGAAATTAATTCACAGTGAGTCAGCTTCGTGCAGGAGGAAAGCCTTCAAAGTGTTGTTTGTTTGTTGTTTAACGCTGAATTCAGCAATATTCCAGCTAGATGGCGTCAGTCCGTAAATAATCGAGTCAGGAACAGACAATCTAGTGATTGACATCATGAGCATCGATCCACTCAATTGGGACACAATGACATGTATCAACCAAGTCAGCATGCCTGATCACCTGATCCCGTTAGTCGCCTCTTAAGAGAAGCATTGTTGCCTTTAATGGCAAGCATGGGTTGCTGAAGACCTTTCCTACCCCGGATCTTCGCGGGCAGCAAAGTGTAGCAACTCATAGGTGTTTGCTTGAGGTCACAAGTGAGTGAGTGAGTGAGTGAGTGAGTGAGTGAGTGAGTGAATATGGTTTTACGCCCCTTTTAGCAATAATCCAGCAATATCACGGCGGGGGACATCAGAAATGGGCTTCACACATTGTACCCAAGGGACCCCCCACCCTTTTGTAAGTGAAAGTATAACCCTGTACTCCCTGTTTTGACAGCCCACCTGGTCCTGAGATACCAAGGAGTGACGGACCACCTACCCATTGCACCCTGCGGTCTCTGGGCTTGCTGCAGTCCGGGGCTGCACAGGTCTCTTCCTCATACCACTCCACGCCATCCTCCAGTTTCTCATCATCTGTCAGTCTCACCCGCGTCCTCTTGGTGCGTGGCGCGAAACGCCTTGCTGGAAAGACAAGGCCGATAAATCTGTAAGCACTGTCAGATCTACATCAAACTGAACATGCTGAATGCTGTGGGAATAGAGGTAGGAATAACAGTATTAAACCCATCACACATAAAGATGGTTACGGGGATTTTTACTATGATGTACAGGTAAGTGGGGAATAAGGCACTTTATCATCAAAACCTGGCTCCCAAAGGAGATATCCCTTGGGTGAGATAAAGCGATATCTACACTGAATCAGACAATCCAGTGATTGACATCACGAGCATCGATCCACACAATTGGGATACGATGACATGCATCAACCAAGACAGCGAGCCTGACCACCCGATCCCGTTAGCCGCCTCTTACGACAAGCATAGTTGCCTTTATGACAAGCATGGATTGCTGAAGATATGTTCTGCCCCGAATCTACCCGGGTTTAGGGAACACGACAAAATCAGTAAAACAAGAAAATAGACTGGTCTGGTTTATAATCTTTTTGTGATAATCATTCATCAACACTTTCACCATCGTTCACAGGTCATCCATGTCCAGAGAACACATACGGGAATAGCCGCTGGTCTCGACCAACAAACCAAGCCATGGCCTGGTTCCTCCAGGAGGGAAACCTGTCACACCAATCGGCACTCAGATTACATCGCACAAACGGCAAAATTTCTAACGCAACATGTGATACAGTGTGGCAGCCATCTACTCCCCATGTTGCTTCAAGCAATGGTTGGGTTCGCCCAAAAGTCATGCACGTTCATTGAGCACAATCGACTTGCACTAGTTACCACACAGCAAAGCTGCCGTATGTATTCACGGTGTATGAAGTGAGTGAGTGAGTTTGGTTTTACACCGCTTTTAGCAATATTCCAGCAATATCACGGCGGGGGACACCAGAAATGGGCTTCACACATTGTACCCATGTCAGGAATTGAACCCGGGTCTTCGGCATGACGAGGGAACGCTTAAACCACTAGGCTACCCGACAGTCCCCGGTGTATGAAGGAACATACAGCGTACACAAACTAGTGAAGTATTGACGATGATCAAGTTTGTGCCCGATGCATCCATACCTTTCCTCCTCTTGTTGGGGTTGGAGCCTGGCTGACCGCTGGTCCTGGTGTCTGATGATTTGCCTGAAACAGGAGAACACATTACACCACAGGAACATCACAGGAACATCACAGGACTATCAGTCAGTGAGGCAGACATGTCACTGATCAAACTGTCCACTCTCCTACCAGAGTCAGTGGACCAGGAAAACACATTACACCACAGGATCATCACGAGAATATCACAGGAACATCACAGGAATATCAGTCAGTGAGGCAGACATGTCACTGATCAAACTGTCCACTCTCCTACCAGAGTCAGTGGACCAGGAAAACACATTACACCACAGGATCATCACAGGAATATCACAGGAACATCACAGGAATATCAGTCAGTGAGGCAGACATGTCACTGATCAAACTGTCCACTCTCCTACAAGAGTTCCATGCGGCCAGCGACATGAGACAATGTCACATCTTACACACTCCATTCAAAATATTGCATATGTTTTCTATGTTTACACATATAGATAAAGATGTCATCGAATATTGAATTTTCATTGAGACAATATCCCAAAGCGTGAAAAACAATTTCCATTTGCATATTTATCCTTTCTATCAATTGGATGTACGGCTCCATGCACTGGTATCGAAGCCCCACGGAGAGCTAGCGATACGGCCAATTTGATGATTAAAGATATCTTGTTATGCACCTCGGTGTTGCAGTTGCAGTTGCAGTAGCACATCTTTAAAATTGTGAAGCGCACCAAAATGCTTTTTTATTTTTTTAAATTTCAGGATAAGTTTGTGTGTTTACAAATCAAGAGATGTCTGGTCACATGATATGCAAATTAGCCTGTGGCAGTGGTGTGATGCTACAGACTGTTATCAATGTTCTACATGTATTTTGTGAATATGGCAACGTGAGCTGTATCAGGCCAGACATTGAAAGCTTGATAAATAGTCAACAAACATGAAAATATGAATGTTCTTCTATTCTTTTTATCAAAACATAATGATCCTATCAACATCACTAGTATTGTAACAAAAACAATTATCTTCCACTTTAAAGTTTACAAACATCAGTCCAGTTTATAGTGAGTGAGTATGGTTTAACGCCGCTTTTAGCAATATTCCAGCAATATCACGACAGGGGACACCAGAATGGGCTTCACACATTGTACCCATGTCGGGAATCAAACCCGGGTCTTCGGTGTGACGAGCGAACGCTTTAACCACTGGGCTACCCGACCGCCCCTGTCCAGCTTATAAAGGAGTTTACTCAATTCTATAATTTAATAAAGTACACTGTCAATATAATAAAGTACACTGTCAACGTCACCTGTAAAAGAGATAACTTTTAAACTAAGCAGACCTTTCGCCAATTCTAAATATAAAATATTCATAACAGGTACTAAATATCATGAATATAGCCTTGGAAAGTGTAGCCTTGCTGGTATGACCAACTCAAATGACGGCAGTATTTTGTTCCGATTATGAACATGCTTTAGGACAAGCTCTCTGATTGGTTGTTCAGAGGATCACATAGCCAATTGCACAACATATTGTAAAAAGTCATGGCAGACTCTCTATCCACTGGACCATGAGACGGTCACAAGCACATTTACAAGTCTCTCTTAATATAAGAATTTTTGTTTTGTAAAAACATCTTAATCTCTATACAGTATGTCATAAAATGATACATCATGTTATTTTAGGGAGGCACAGACATAACGGAGGATAATATTTGGTTTTACAATATTTGATGTGTTTTTTTATACGAACTATAAATGGAAATTGTAAAACAAATAATAAATAAATACAAAAACACACAAAAAAATCCCTATCTATCGTACCTACATACCCTAATTTTAAAACTGCTATTATCAGAACAACAAAATTTCTTCCGTGTGGCCTAAATAGCAAAAGACACGAGTTGACAACCTGGTCTTTGTGCGTACAAAGTTTCATGAAAGAAACAGATGGATGGACAGACAGACAGGCTACTTACTATATCCCCCCCATATTACATACTAGGGATATAATACACATATATCATGTATATATCACTAACCCTACTCCTGTCAAGTTCCCAGCAATTTTCATTCTCTTTCTGGAGTGTAAATAATAAATGGTAACGACATTGCATTGCAAAGTCTCTGAATTCCCCAAAACACTAAAATATTTTTTGCATGCATAAAACAGTCAACGGAAACATCATATCAGAATAATCAATAATGGAAATGAGGACATGAAATCCTTTGACATTTTACAACAGAGACAGGACTGAACAGAAAGCTTCACAAATGCATATTTTCGCTCACTTCAATAATCTCAAATATCTGTTTTAAATACAATAACCTCACATTGTGATGATATAAATCCTTGCATTCAACTTTGATCTTTGAAATAAGCAGTGCAAAACTGGATTTGAACACACAATTATGGTGAGGTGAGGTGAAATTGGGTTTAACGTCGCGTCTAAGATTATTGCACTTACATAGCGATGTGCATGTACGTGTGTGTGTTTGTGTGGCTGCTTGTACTAGTCTGGACTGATGCTGATTTATAGTGCTAGCTCACTGAGATACCATGCCGCAGTTTAACATGAATACCCCACTCAGACACAGTATACTGACTCCGAGCCGACCAGTCCTTGTTTTAGCCCCTTAATGCCGAGCACCAGACAGGGTAACAACAAGTATCATCTTTTAATGTCTTTTGGTATGATGCGGTCGGGGATCGAACCCTGGACCTTCCGCTCTCCGGGCAGATGCTCTACCATTAGACCCAATTATGCCTGAGGGACATGGCCTAAGATGACTGGCCCCCACTCACACGTACTTTTGTAAGGGCATACCACGACAGACCTCAGAAACCTATATTCAGCCCTAAATCTGTGTGTACTATGTGGATTAACACAGCACTCTGCAATAAAACAGATCGGATGAGAGACATTGTTTGTTTTTTGTTTAACGCCACATTCAGGTGGAGTCAGCAATATTCCAGCTATGTGACGGCAGTCTGCAAATAGTCGAGTCTGGAACAGACAATCCAGTGATTGACATCATGAGCATCGATCTACACAATTGGGATACGATAACATGCCTCATCCGTCCAATCCCATAAGTCGCCTCTTATGACAAGAATAGTTGCCTGTTACGGTAAGCATGGGTTGCTGAAGACCTATTCTACCCCGGATCTTCATGGGTCTGTAAATAATCGACTCAGGACCAGGCAATCAATGATTGATGTGAGCGATGATCCACAATGCCCGTGGATGATGACATGTTTTTATTGTTTGTTTGTTTGTTGTTTAACAAGGCACTCAGCAATATTCCAGCTATATGACGGCAGTCTGTAAATAATCAAGTCTGGACCAGACAATCCAGTAAGTAATATCATAAGCATCGATCCACGCCATTGGGATACGATGACATGCATCAACCAAGTCACTGAGCCCGATCACTGCCTCTTGCAGACAGCATATATCATTATTCCAGCTACCCGGTATATGACAGTGGCCTGTAAATAATAGAGTCTGGACCAGACAATCCTGTGATTGTGATATTGTGACCAACAAGCCATGCCATGAGTCAATCCATTTGGTTGCCTCTTATAGTCTGGAAGGTAATTTAAGGTACAGATGTTTACTACAATATCTGGCCCTGTGACGCAGGGGTAGCATTATGCAGATGGCTGTTACAATGAATGCTGGTTCCACCCGTGACGAACAAGTCTGGTTGTTGATGAAATATAGTGATAGCTAAATAGACAGATTTTTTATTCATGCACCGATTATCTTTAAATGTAATATCCAGTTATGGATGACTGTTTAATAATCTCATACCAACTTTGACTGAAATAGGTCCATTAGTTTTTCAGATATTGTAGTAAACATCGGTACCTTAAATTACCTTCCAGACTTATACAATCAGCATAAGTTGCTGGGGACCTGTTCAAGCCTATATGACATGGCCAATATTAAGGAAGTGGATTTCTTCTTCAGTTTTATTTGATTGCATTGAGTGTGATCCTAAAATAACTCTGACAGTAATTAAGCAAATCTGAACTCTTTAATAAAATTATTCTGTGTGTTAAATGAAACATTGCATGCAAAACAGTTAACAAGGGTAAGGTCAACACAGTTAACAAGAGTAAGGTCAACAAAGTTACCAGGGTCAAGGTCAACAAAGACAACATGGTCAAGGTCATCAAAGTTAACATGGTCAAGGTCAACAAAGTTACCAGGGTCAAGGTCAACAAAGTTAACATGCTAAGGTCAACAAAGTTAACATGCTAAGGTCAACAAAATTACCAGGGTCAAGGTCAACAAAGTTAACAGGGTCAAGGTCAACAAAGTTACCAAGGTCAAGTACCGGTCTTATTATCGTCTGCACTGAGTGACCCCAACAAACTGGACACTTGCACATGGAGAAACTGGAGACATCGCTCTCCTTCAAGGAACAGAAATGTTATGACAAACAGCAAGGGAGAAAATTATGGATGCTTTCAGCAACACCATGACAGGGAATTATTTCCTTATAACTATGTGGGAATCAAACCCTGATCTTCCATGATGTCAAGCAAACACCTCACCATAATGAGTCCTGTTTTAATTAATCGATTAAGTTGCTAAGCTTACATTTCAAGCAAACATGAAGCAGGGAGTTGACATTTTTAAATCAAAATAAACATGTGATGGTGTTTTCATGCGTACATGTACACAGATATGCAGGTTATCATGCTTAAGTGGAGTTCTGCACCTGGCAAAATCTAATCTCGCTACTTGACAATACACTTCGTCAGATCCAAAGATGAGATTAACATTTGATGAGAAAGACAAATATCCTACATACCGTATTCGACGTAATAAGCGCCCAGGGTGCTCTCAAAATTAGAAATAGTGGGCTCTTATTGGAATATCATTCTGGTAAAAAAAACACAGTTTATGCTGACAGCCTGAAATATTTATATACGACAGATATATTTTTCCAGAATTTATTGCCCATAATTAGGGGTGCATATAACACACAAGTGCGTATAATAATAATAAATAAGTCTTGTGTACATTGATCAATCGGAAAGGGGTGCTATTTATAGGATTGTTCACTGGCCAATATATTAGCAAATATCGCCGTGGGCGCTTATTTGAACGGGACGCTTATTACGTCTAATACGTATCTTCAGGGGTCTTAAAGATTTCAGGGTAACAAGGCTTCCCTGTATTAAGTATGTTGGTGTGTTCCTAGGCCAAAAGAAAATATGTTTCCCTCCTCCTCTCTCCTCCCCACCCCCACCCCCTATATCCTGGTGTTGTCCATGTCACATTCCACTGGTGTACATATGTCGCACTTCATATGAGTGAGTGAGTGAGTGAGTTGGGTTTTACGCCGCTTTTAACAGTATTCCAGTTATATCACGGCGTGTCAGCTTAATGTGGGAGGAAAGCCCAAAGTGATGCAGGTCTCAGACGTTTACCACTTCGGTGAAACCCACGGGCACGGGTATGGTGCTGACAAACCTAGAAACATAATCGGGGCGAACCGGGATTCGAACCCACAATCATAGGTTTCTGGCGTCTGCACAGCGAATTGCGGCGCCTTAGACGACTGGGCCACCCGTGCCCCCCCTTCACTCAGAGATGTCAAGTGAGGTGAGGTGAGGTGAGGTGGGGTTTAATGTCGCATCCAAGATCATTGCACTTTTATAGCGACGTGCATGCACACGTATGTGCGTGGGTGTGTCTGCTTGTACTACCCTGGACTGATGCCGATTTATAGTGCTATCCAGCGGTAGAAACTAACATTTTTGGTCCACTTGTCCTTATAATGATAATATATAGCAAAACCCTTAAAAATGGCAAATTTCTACTTGTCCTTATGACACCTTAACTACTAGACAGTTTGACTAGTGCCAATTTCTAACTCTGCTATCTCACTGAGATACCATGCCACACCTTAACATGAATATCCCACTCAGACACAGCATACTGACTCCTAGCGGCCCTTTAATGCCGAACAGGTACCATCTTTTAACGTCTTTTGGTATGACACGGCCGGGGATTAAACCCTCATTGAACATGGGGGTTTATTACAGCAAATATGGTACCTGCATGACCTGGATGAGCTGAAATAGGAAGCACACACATATTGAGGGAGCTGTCATACTTACTATCACTGTCCTCACTGAACATAGAGTTGGTTTCACCGTCGTGGTCCTTCCTGCAATGGAAGAGAGGTACCTGGTCAAATTAATAATGGACAACCAAAATATCCCCTTACACTTGCCCTGGATTCCTAGAGACTGATCATATGGCTCCAGTGAGTACCATATACACGTTATAACTTGTCAATTAATCATCAAATGACCATGATATTTGTTTGAAATTGAGAGGGTCCACGTTTCCATGAGGAATGTTCCAATAGTATTTGAATCGGGGGACCCCTTTGAATCGGGGGACCCCCTAAATCCTCATCTTTTAGCATGAGCGAGCGAGCGAGCTAGTTGGGTTTAATGTCACTTGGAACAATATTTCACTTATATCACAAGGTGTCAACTTGATGTGGGAGTAATGCCCAATGTGAGTGAGTAAGCGAGTTGGGTTTAATGTCACTTGGAACAATATTTCACTTATATCACAAGGTGTCAACTTGATGTGGGAGTAATGCCCAATGTGAGTGAGTAAGCGAGTTGGGTTTAATGTCACTTGGAACAATATTTCACTTATATCACAAGGTGTCAACTTGATGTGGGAGTAATGCCCAATGTGAGTGAGTAAGTGAGTTGGGTTTAATGTCACTTGGAACAATATTTCACTTATATCACAAGGTGTCAACTTGATGTGGGAGTAATGCCCAATGTGAGTGAATAAGTGAGTTGGATTTAATGTCACTTGGAACAATATTTCACTTATATCACAAGGTGTCAGCTTGATGTGGGAGTAATGCCCAATGTGAGTGAATAAGTGAGTTGGGTTTAATGTCACTTGGAACAATATTTTCACTTATATCACAAGGTGTCAACTTGATGTGGGAGTAATGCCCAATGTGAGTGAGTAAGTGAGTTGGGTTTAATGTCACTTGGAACAATATTTCACTTATATCACAAGGTGTCAACTTGATGTGGGAGTAATGCCCAATGTGAGTGAGTAAGTGAGTTGGGTTTAATGTCACTTGGAACAATATTTCACTTATATCACAAGGTGTCAACTTGATGTGGGAGTAATGCCCAATGTGAGTGAGTAAGTGAGTTGGGTTTAATGTCACTTGGAACAATATTTCACTTATATCACAAGGTGTCAGCTTGATGTGGGAGTAATGCCCAATGTGAGTGAGTAAGTGAGTTGGGTTTAATGTCACTTGGAACAATATTTCACTTATATCACAAGGTGTCAACTTGATGTGGGAGTAATGCCCAATGTGAGTGAGTAAGTGAGTTGGGTTTAATGTCACTTGGAACAATATTTCACTTATATCACAAGGTGTCAGCTTGATGTGGGAGTAATGCCCAATGTGAGTGAGTAAGTGAGTTGGGTTTAATGTCACTTGGAACAATATTTCACTTATATCACAAGGTGTCAACTTGATGTGGGAGTAATGCCCAATGTGAGTGAGTAAGTGAGTTGGGTTTAATGTCACTAGGAACAATATTTCACTTATATCACAAGGTGTCAGCTTGATGTGGGAGTAATGCCCAATGTGAGTGAGTAAGTGAGTTGGGTTTAATGTCACTTGGAACAATATTTCACTTATATCACAAGGTGTCAACTTGATGTGGGAGTAATGCCCAATGTGAGTGAGTAAGTGAGTTGGGTTTAATGTCACTTGGAACAATATTTCACTTATATCACAAGGTGTCAACTTGATGTGGGAGTAATGCCCAATGTGAGTGAGTAAGTGAGTTGGGTTTAATGTCACTTGGAACAATATTTCACTTATATCACAAGGTGTCAACTTGATGTGGGAGTAATGCCCAATGTGAGTGAGTAAGTGAGTTGGGTTTAATGTCACTTGGAACAATATTTCACTTATATCACAAGGTGTCAACTTGATGTGGGAGTAATGCCCAATGTGAGTGAGTTGGGTTTAATGTCACTTGGAACAATATTTCACTTATATCACAAGGTGTCAACTTGATGTGGGAGTAATGCCCAATGTGAGTGAGTAAGTGAGTTGGGTTTAATGTCACTTGGAACAATATTTCACTTATATCACAAGGTGTCAACTTGATGTGGGAGTAATGCCCAATGTGAGTGAGTAAGTGAGTTGGGTTTAATGTCACTTGGAACAATATTTCACTTATATCACAAGGTGTCAACTTGATGTGGGAGTAATGCCCAATGTGAGTGAGTTGGGTTTAATGTCACTTGGAACAATATTTCACTTATATCACAAGGTGTCAGCTTGATGTGGGAGTAATGCCCAATGTGAGTGAGTAAGTGAGTTGGGTTTAATGTCACTTGGAACAATATTTCACTTATATCACAAGGTGTCAACTTGATGTGGGAGTAATGCCCAATGTGAGTGAGTAAGTGAGTTGGGTTTAATGTCACTTGGAACAATATTTCACTTATATCACAAGGTGTCAACTTGATGTGGGAGTAATGCCCAATGTGAGTGAGTAAGTGAGTTGGGTTTAATGTCACTTGGAACAATATTTCACTTATATCACAAGGTGTCAACTTGATGTGGGAGTAATGCCCAATGTGAGTGAGTAAGTGAGTTGGGTTTAATGTCACTTGGAACAATATTTCACTTATATCACAAGGTGTCAACTTGATGTGGGAGTAATGCCCAATGTGAGTGAGTAAGTGAGTTTTGGGCAATATTCCAGCAATATCACGGCGGGGGACACCAGAAATGGGCTTGTACCCATATCAGGAATCGAACTCGGGTCTTCGGCGAGACCTGTATACATGGTATACAGATACCTGTATTACAATATATTGCAAAACGAGTATGTTGCCAATGCACAATGGTGACATAACACCCTGGACTAGAGAGGATGATCCGTTGGGTGTCATAGCTACTTACCTGAAGTTAGAGTTCTGTACAGCATCAGTGAAAAACGATTGTCCAAAGGCAAGAGTCTCATTGTTTGTGAGGGTGTCACATGACCCATCTTGTTGGTGAATGACTGGATTATGAGATTGGTCGTAGGACTCGCCCATGGGACTAGGTGCGGAGCTATCTTTCATGGCGTCATCGTTACTGTCGGACATAATACTCCAGATATTCCGACCCCCCTTGCCATCCCCATCACACTCATCGTAACTACTGGAACTCTTAGCACTGTTCGGTCGGGAATTGCACTTCCGTTTTGTATTCGCTGGCCCTTTCATTTCACTCATTTCCAAACTTGCATCGCCCTGTTTACAAGGCGACACATCCTCAGTTCTTGCGACAGGCACGTCTGAGCCATTTTCATCTTCACTTTTGTTAAAGTCACAGTGGTCACTTAAATTTGATTTGGTTTGGAATGTCTCGCGTTCCCCTTGAACGTCTTTGACAAAAGCCTTAGGACTGTCCACCTCTTCATCTTGACTAGATGCTTCTCCTGAATTCCCATTGGTTAACACAGGACTTTTGCATTGATTTGATTGGTCGACTTCACTTACGTTACCACAGTTACCCTCAGAACATTCAGTGTGACTTTCGGCTGAATCTGCTGCTCCAAGAATCTCCACTTCTTCCATGAAATCTGGCACTTCGGGTGTTGACGCACTTTTCCGCACATGACACACTTTGGGGGTTGGACAATCAGTACTTACATTTTTCAATCTACCACTTTCTAAATCGTTTTCTTCCCCTCTTGTGACAGGTATGGTTGGGCTGGCTGGCAGTGTGTGTTCCTGAATGGTGGGAGATCTACACGTTCGTAAAGCACCCTGTTTGTCCAACGTGTCACAACACTCGCTGCGGTCGTACTCCGGCGAGGAGGGCAGTTTGCGGGTGCCACAACACGTCCTGGTTTGGTGGTACTCCACACTGTCCAGGCCCTGGTGCTTGGGCAGCTCATGGCGCTTCTGGAACTTCTCAAACTACAAACAGGTCAAGATCGGGTGAGTGAGTGAGTGAGTTGGCTTTAACGCCGCTTTTAACAGTATTCCAGTTATATCGTGGCGTGTTAGCTTAATGTGGGAGGAAAGCCCGAAGTGATGCAGGTCTCAGACGTTTACCACTTCGGTGAAACCCACGAGCACGGGTATGGTGCTGACAAACCTAGAAACATAATCGGGCGAACCGGGATTCGAACCCACAATCATAGGTTTCTGGCATGCCCAAGGGACGCAACTCTGCACAGCAAATCGCGGCGCCTTAGACGACTGGGCAACCCGTGCCCCCCAAGATCGGGTGAGAGTGTGTGAGTATGGTTTTACGCCGCTTTTAGCAATATTCCAGCAATATCACGGCAGGGGACACAAGAAATGGGCTTCACACATTGTACCCATGTTGGGATTTGATCCCGGGTCTTCGGCGTGACGATCGAACGCTCTAACCACTAGGCTACCCGACTGCCCCAGATCGGGTGTGAGACATTGTTTGAATGTTGTTTAACGCCACACTCAGACGAAGTTAGCAATATTCCAGCTAATATGGTGGTGGTCGGTAAATAATCAAATCTGGACCAGACAATCCGGTGATTGACATCATAAGCATTGCGATATGATGACATGCATCAACCAAGTCAGCGAGTCATGTTAGTCGCCTCTTCCATCAAGCAAGGATGGATGAATGTAACATCTACAAATAGGTCAAGGTTGGATGAGAGACAAGGATGGATGAATGTAACATGTCTACAAATAGGTCAGAGTTGGATGAGAGACAAGGATGAATGAATGTAACATCTACAAATAGGTCAAGGTTGGATGAGAGACAAGGATGGATGAATGTAACATGTCTACAAATAGGTCACAGTTGGATGAGAGACAAGGATGGATGAATGTCACATCTACAAATAGGTCAAGGTTGGATGAGAGACAAGGATGGATGAATGTAACATCTACAAATAGGTCAAGGTTGGATGAGAGACAAGGATGGATGAATGTAACATATCTACAAATAGGTCAAGGTTTGATGAGAGACAAGGATGGATGAATGTAACATCTACAAATAGGTCAACGTTGGATGAGAGACAAGGATGGATGAATGTAACATCTACAAAATAGGTCAAGGTTGGATGAGAGACAAGGATGGATGAATGTAACATCTACAAATAGGTCAAGGTTGGATGAGAAACAAGGAAGAATGAATGATGACATGGACCCCGTAACTTTCAGGATTAATTATAACACTACAATGATGACATATTACAAGTTATAGCGTCAAAACCTATAAAATACTGGTCTCGTTCTCAGACAATTATAAGTAACCTTTAGGAAAGCTATGAATAAATCATAACATCATAAAACAGGAAATTTTAAAGATCTTAATCATGTGCTGTCAACCTTCAACTGAATACTGGTGTCAGATCTCTGATCGGCTGACATAAAATAAGCATTATTCTGTATCTATACTTCTGGTTTTAACTATCTGTACATCAGAGTGAGTGAGTCAGGTTTTACACCGCTTTTAGCAATATCCCAGCAATATCACGGCGAGGGACACCAGAAATGGGCTTCACACATTGTACCCATGTCAGGAATTGAACCCAGGCCCTTGGCATGATGAGTGAGTGAGTGAGTATTGTTTTACGCCGCTTTTAGCAATATTCCAGCAATATCACGGCAGGTGACACCAGAAATGGGCTTCACCCATTGTACCTATGTCGGGAATTGAACCCAGGCCCTTGGCATGATGAGTGAGTGAGTGAGTGAGTGAGTATTGTTTTACGCCGCTTTTAGCAATATTCCAGCAATATCACGGCGGGGGACACCAGAAATGGGCTTCACACATTATACCCATGTCGGGAATCGAACCCGGGTCTTCGGCGTGACAAGCGAACGCTTTAACCACCAGGCTACCCCACCACCTCTTTATATCAGAAGATAGGTCGTGGTCAACATTTCAGTTTTACAGCAAGAAGTCCACTGTTCTCATGGTTAAGTTAACCGTATTTTCTTGAGTATAGTGCGCAGCCAAGTATAATGCGCATCCCCCTCTAGCGGATTCAGTAGTTTGGAAAAAAAAAATTCAAATATTATGCACAGAAAAAATTACACTGCACCCCTTCATGCAAATTCCGGTAAACGAACGGGTGATGAGAAACTTGGTAAGTACAAATTTGAAATTGGAGATAAAAAAATCACCAGACATGTTGATTTACCGTTTAAATTGTATTTTTTGTTCTGCTAGGCATTGTTTTACATCAAGGGATTAAGATTACCTTGTGTATTTTCTCGTAAACTAAGCCGGAAACAACAATCAGCTGTACACACGGTTTCTTGGAATCTACCGGTGATCCAGTCAAGACACACCCAATGATATAATTTTACAGGATGCGGGGTTTTTTTTAAGAAGAGTGTGCACTATACTCAAGAAAATATGGTATATGTTGCTGTTGTCCGCAAAAATAACGTGAGGCGAGGTAAGGTGAGCTGAGGTGAGCCAAGGTGAGGTGAGGTGAGCCGAAGTGAGGTAAGGTGAGGTGAGCCAAGGTGAGCCGAGGTGAGGTGGGCCAAGGTGAGCCAAGGTGAGGTGAACCAAAGTGAGGTGAGGTGAGGTGAGCCGAAGTGAGGTAAGATAAGGTGAGCCAAGGTGAGCCGAGGTGAGGTGGTGGTCCAAGGTGAGCCAAGGTGAGGTGAGGTGAGGTGAACCAAAGTGAGGTAAAGTGAGGTGATGTGAGGTGAGGTGAAAGGGGTCATGTTCAAGATAATGCACTCAGGACAGACACATTTAGTTTCATGTTTTGAACAGAGAGTGTGAGTATAGTTTTACGCCACTTTCAGCAATAATCCAGCAATATCACAATGAGGAACACAAGAAATGGGCTTCACACATTGTACCCATGTCTGGAACTGAACCCAGGTCTCTGGCGTGACGAGTGAACGCTTTAACCACTAGGCTACCCTACTGACCTATTGACCTCCAGACAGGGCAAGCATACCCTAAACCAGGGCAATATTTTAGCATCTCCTTTTAAAATTTATAAAGTTTAATGTTTTCAGGTACCATCACCATTGCTGTAACTAAACTTTATATATGACCCGTGAAGATTCCGGGGTAGAATAGGTCTTCAGCAACCCATGCTTGCCATAAAAGGTGACTTTGCTTGTCGTAAAAGGCGACTAACGGGATCGGGTGGTCAGGCTCGCTGACTTGGTTGATGCATGTCATCGATCCCAATGGCGTGGATCGATGCTCATGATGTCAATCACTGGATTGTCTGGTCCAGACTCGATTATATACAGACTGCCGTCATATAGCTGGAATATTGCTGAGTGCGGCGTTAAACAACCAACCAACCAACCAACTAAACTTTATGCACCCCTCATGGTATTACTGTACGATAAACAATGACCTCAAGTTGTTTTTTTATCGTATTTAACAAATTAACATTATTTACAACCTCCCTAAGGGTGTTAATAAAATGGACAGGCTTTAAAAATATTAACCCCTATTGATATAATGATGACTCCCTGAATACAATCCCAAATCAGAAAGGTTGGACAAGTCCATTTTATGAAATGGGGGGTTGTGTCATTTCCTGAATATTCTAACAAATCACACATAAATTTTTCTCCTATTTCATAGAGCTGTATCTCACTCACTTGTGGATGCGATCGTTCGGCCATTGTGTTTTTCTGCATTGCACAGCCCAGCTATATCTAAGGGACCAATTACTACTCTCTAAAAAATAATGTCATCCAATTTATGACGTCCTCAAGTCGCAGGTGTGTGCTCGAATCTCCATACATGATGTAATAAAAGAACAATGTTATTATCGTGAAACACACCAAGCCTCCTTCTTCATTGTTCTTTGCGATTTATCGCGTAGCTATTTTATATCTTCTGATACACTGGAATGTTCTACTCACCATAAACTGGAACTCGGAGTGAAGCTGGCGAGAGTACTGGCCCGGCTCGATCTTGTAACCATTTGTGTGTCCGAAAGTGATCTTGTCACCCTCGGTAAGAATACTTGATCCCTTGATCTGTGAAACAGAAACATGGTAAACCAACTGTTTTACAACTGATTGTACACCATCTGTTTCAGGTCCTGCCATTAATGGTTTGACATACCAGACATCCTGACATCATTGTGTGAGTGTGAGTTGGGTTTAACGCCGCTTTTAACAGTATTCCAGTTATATCACGGCGTGTCAGCTTAATATGGGAGGAAAGCCCGAAGTGATGCAGGTCTCAGACGTTTACCACTTCGGTGAAACCCACGAGCATGGGTATGGTGCTGACAAACCTAGAAACATAATCGGGGCGAACCGGGATTCGAACCCACAATCATAGGTTTCTGGCGTGCCCAAGGGACGCATTTCTGCACAGCGAATCGTGGTGCCTTAGACGACTGGGCCACCCATGCCACCCATGCCACCCCTGACATCGTTGACGAGTGAGTACGGTTTTACGATGCCGTCACCAATATTGCTGGTAGGGAAAAGGTCATCATCAACCCTTGCTTGCCGTAAAAGGCGACTATGCTTGTCATAAGAGGCGACAAACAGCATTGGGTGGTCAGGATCGCTGACTTGGAGGGCGCATGTCATCATGTCCCAATTGCGTAGATCGATGCTCATGATGTCAATCACCGGATTGTCTGGTCTAGGCTCGATTATTTAGACAGCCGTCATATAGCTGGAATATTGGTGACTGCAGCGTTTAAAAAAACTACAGAGCTCCAGATAAGCTGCGTATCTGCATAAAATACGCATCAGAAATGCAGAAATACGCAGTAAAATAAAATCCAAGCGTATCAAATAGGCAATGATCATTTCAGATACGCTACAAAAATAAAACTTGTGTGTATCATCAAAATATTGTGAAGTAACCCTGCATATTCGTTTAGCAAATCAGCAACTTATTTTGAAATTATAAACGGGAATTCCGTCAACCTTGCCAAACTCCATGATGACAGTTACATCATGATCATTTGCCATCACACTTTCTTGTGGAAGTATCATGGTATTTTTGAGTCCTATAAAGCTCTCGAACCCACACGACACCTGTTTGCAGGGACTAGATGAATAGTGTTTTTAAATATTTAACTTAAATACCCACATGTGTAACAACTACTGGGTAACAGAAATTTGAATACCCAGATAGAATTACTGATACCCAATGATCTTAAAATGCATGGGTAAAATACCAACAACATCAAAAGCTTATCTGGAGCTCTGCAACTAACAAGCAAGCAAACACCGACAACCTATAGCAGTATAACCCAAATGTTAGAAATTCTACCATGTCTACTAGATACCTTAAACATTAGCTAAACGGGAATGGGCTAGCGCTAATTCCCGTCCCTGTCATTGATGACAAAGCCAGCACTCACCCTGACATCGTTGATGAAGGTTCCGTTCAGACCCTTTTCCTGAAGGAAGAACACATCACTTCCGCCGTCTCTTGTTTCGCCGATGATGACGGCATGGTGGCGGGAGATGAAGTTTTTAAGTATTTTAGAGTCCAAGAAGAAATCATTATTTGGACTTCTACCGAAACTGTTGACGCCGATCTTTAACCTGGAAAAAACAACAAATACATTAAAATAACTCTTTGACTAAGAAAAAACAGTAATCAAGGCAATAAAACATAGTTTTTTATCACGAACACCAGACTTACATTTTTCTCTGAAGTCTGAAATCAGATCTTTGTTACCATGGTTAAAGGTCATGTCAGAACAACTTGTCGCAAACTCAGAGTGAGTGTGAATGAGTTGGGTTTAACACTGCTTAAAACAGTATTCCAGTTTTATCACGGCGTGTCAGCTTAATGTGGGAGGAAAGCCCGAAGTGATGCAGGTCTCAGACGTTTACCACTTCGGTGAAACCCACGAGCACGGGTATGATTCTGACAAACCTAGAAACATTATCGGGGCGAACCAGGATTCGAACCCACAATCATAGGTTCCTGGCGTGCCCAAGGGACACAACTCTGCACAGCGGATCGCGGCACCTAAGACGACTGGGACACCCGTGCCCCCAGCAAACTTGGACCGACCAATGAAATGACTAACAAGAAGATGACATTAGCCAATCAGAAGGCATTTTTCTCAAGCTACACTGTAAACAGCACTAGTTTCAAATTGACGACTTCCATTCCAAACTAAGCTTTGAAAAATATATTGACAAGTCCTCGATCCAACATTTGAAACTGAACAAAAGAACATTTTTGAATGTCTTATAAATGGCCGAGATTTCAAGGCAGTACTTCTCACAGATTATGCAAAGTCTTTCTGTTCAAATGTTTGTCCCACCGAAGCGAGATGTAGACGATTTTGACGGATTCAGCCATACAGTCCATAACTGTCATTCGGAAATAGTGTTGAAATAAGCCCCTGCCTGTAGGCCTGTGGCAGGTACACCTCATGTCACACTGTAGTTCAAATTTGTAGGGGGCCTACAGTGCAGGACATTTACGTGTCGATATATTTACAGTAAGCTGCAGCTTTTTTTGGTAAATGAGGTGGTGAGGTGAAATTGGGCTTAACGTCGCGTCCAAGATTATTGCACTTATATAGCAACGTGCATGCACGTGTATGTGTGTGTGTGTGTGTTGCTGCTTGTACTAGACCGGACTGATGCCGATTTATAGTGCTAGCTCACTGAGATACAATGCCGCAGTTTAACATGAATACCCCACTCAGACACAGTATACTGACCAGTCCTTGCTTTAACCCCTAAATGCCGAGCGCCAGACAGGGTAACAACAAATACCATCTTTTAACGTCGGCCGGGAATCGAACCCTGGACCATCCGCTCTCCGGGCAGACACTCTACCACTAGACCATGGAGGCGGTCTTTTTGGTAAATGAAGGCCTAAGCGTTTAGTCAGGGACTGCAGCTTCCTAAGTCGGTGGGTCATGATGGCAGCCTGGGAAAAAACATTCCACCAATCACTTTCCTGATGTGGTAAGCAATGCTCTGATTGGTTGAATGAAAGGTTGTTCTGATATGACCCATAATGGGATGTCCTCAGATCCTTGTTTAGCGGTAGCATGAACTTAGATTTGATTTTAATGAGATTGTCAACCAATCTTGGTTTGACACACTTAATGCTATCATGCAATCAGATTTAGCATTATCTTCCAAGAAAGGTTCAAGGTAACCATGGTAACGCTAAACATGCTAAACCTAGTAGTCATGTCCATTATTATCTTTTCAAAATCAATACAGAAATAACACATTAATCGATACATCAGTGGATGCATAATGCACTGTCAGGCATAATGAACTCCTACAGCGTTGGCAATGTACTCCACTAGTGTGAAGCCCTAGGCAAGTCAAATTTCTTCTGGTCTCAACTTATTCTTATACAAGGAGTAAAATCTACTCAAAATAATGCCAGAATCCAAGTTCAGGCAAGTAGACTTAAAAGTTGGTTGGATGGTTGGTTTGTTATTCAACGCCGCACTCAGCAATATTCCAGCTATAGGACGGCGGTCTGTAAATAATCGACAATCCAGTGATTGATACCACGAGCATCGATCCACGCAATTGGGATCGATGACATGCATCAACCAAGTCAGCGAGCCTGACCACCCAATCCCGTTAGTCGCCTTTTACGACAAGCATAGTCGCCTTTTACGGCAAGCATGGGTTGCTGAAGACCTATTCTACCCCAGATCTTCACGGGCCAAACTTAAAAGTATTTGGCACAGATAGATTAATAACATGTCTACATTGGTGCATGATGTCTTTCAAAATGGCAAGGTTTTTCCTCATCACATGAAAAGGTAAGTTGAACATAAGCATGTCAAGATCAAACTACACATCTTTTTAAAGGTAGGTTAACGAGGCACTCAGTCATATTCCAGCTACAGGACAGCAGTCTGCAAATATTCGAGTCTGGACCAAACAATCAAGTGAATGATATCGTTATATATGCAATTGGGATCCAATGACATGCATCAACTCAATCAGCGAGTCTGACCACCTGATCCTGTTAGCTGCCTCTTCCATCAAGCATGGGTTGGCTTTCTGACAAAAATTCTGTCCATGTCTCCATGGGTCAAATTACAGATAATTTTTCATCAGTTGTGGTTAAAATCTCCAACACAATACCGCGACATCATGTACAAACGGGCTGAGCAGTAGTTCATTGGCCGAGAGACTGAAAAAAAACAAATCTGACGGGGGGGGGGGGGGGGGGGGGGAAATGTCAGATTCACAGAATCATACGCGCCTGGTTGATGATCCCCTGGATAATTAATGTTATCTACAATCTGAGATATCCTCGCTGTCACATTAATGATAGATTTAGCGATGCTATCCTACTTGTCATGAATATTTGACACTGAACATAGGTCCTTCTGAATGTGTAATGGATTTATATCAGGTTTTTCTTGTATTACAAGTTTAGGATTATGTTTCAAGGCTACTGGGTCCAACATGGCCGCTAGTTCAAGATGACTGATAAGTCATAAGGTCTTATGGCTATCACTAGTCTAGTCATCATCTCAATGTAGAATGCATCATGTCACCAGTGCATTAACAATTTGATCTCTGTCATATTTTATAAGTCTGTGACTTAAGCCACTAGTCCAAAGCGCAAGTTTTAATATTCTGTTCTGTCAACAGGGATTTATCAAGACATGCTCAGAGGCCAATGTTTGGCCCCAAATCGGCAGCAAATGATCATGATGATACTTAACATTCCCAATTTGAAATACAAATTGCCACTTCCTCAGAATTTCAAAACAAGAACATCAAAAAATCTAACTTTGAACTACTCACAGTTTATCACTAAAATCAACTTTAAATTATGCTCAGAGCCAATTTCAGTGTAGTTGTCTTAAAATTGGGCAACAGACTGTTTTATGCATCTAAATAATTTATGAAAACAACGAAACACTTTGTAATTTGGGACAACCACAATAGCTTTATTTCTGGCTCAAAATTGTAGTTATAACTCCAAACTTGTTTGCATATGTGTGTAAGTTATTAGTGAGCGACGCAAAATGTCAACATTGTATTCAGAAAATAATGACATGCAATCCTGCTGGTTTTGCCCGAATACATTGTTGACACACACTCTGCTACTTGACATCTCAGTATGCAAGATAGAGAAATAGCATCCACATTTCAATGTTTTTCAACACATTCGTATTTTTTCTTCAGTCACCCTGATTAACGAGGCTGTAATCAGTGTAAACATTATGGACGAGTTACCCACATGAGCCAAGCAGCGTTGTGGTTCTAATGATCCAAAATCAATAACCAGATGTAATCGTGTCATAGTTAATACCTGATGCCAACTAAACTCCCTTGCAACAAGAGCACAGGTGTTCTATCATTGTGTCGAGATGACTGGTTTTCACCTGGGTACCACAATTATTAAGGCATAAATGGACGTCAAGCTAATTAATGTTCTTTGCTCAGCCTCTTAGTAACCTGTGTGAACAAGATTAGTATGTTTTTACTCTGATCACAGTCCTCATCCATCTTACCATAAGTAAATGGGTGTGTCGGGTTGAACTAGGGCTGGGATGGGTAGGGCTAGGACTGGGTACCCACAGGACTACCCAGACCACGTGGATATTTTGTTTAATGACAAAAATTATCCAGAATTCCATGGTTTTACTACTAATGTTTGCATTTTCTTCTGACTATTATAAGTCTGAATAAAGATACAGCTTCAGTCAACTTCAGTGTGTGTGTGTGTGTGTGTGTGTGTGTGTGTGTGTGTGTGTGTGTGTGTGTGTGTGTGTGTGTGTGTGTGTGTGTGTGTGTGTGTGTGTGTGTGTGTGTTTGTGTGTGTTTGTGTGTGTGTGTGTGCAGATCGTTTGAAATTATCATACTTGCAGGGCTCAAAGTTGACTTTTTGACTTACTTGTTGATAGCTAAGTAAATATTTTTAATCAGGAGCCGAAGTGAAACACAAGTGGCCATGCAACTTGACCTATTACAATCGTGATAAGCAAAAGATTGTGTATTTGAAGTTGTTTTTTATTTATTATAATTGATTACAGTAAAAGACATCAAATTTGAACACAGTGTTGCAATTGTACAATGTTAAATGTTTGAGCATTTATATAATAGCTGGCTCTCAAATAGATGTTTGTTTTGAGAACTGTCAAACATGAAAGGATGACATGATCATGGATAGCCACTTTAAGAAGAGTTTTACACAATGGTGTATGCCTGATGGGCAGACATGAATATGAAAGATTGAAAAAATCAAAATGTCAGTGAAATTGACTTTATTTAACTTGTCACTGATTCATGTCAATTGAAAGTTCCCAGAGACTTTTGTGTGATAGATGAAGCCAACAATTATCAAGGAAAATATCTGCTTGTAAAACATCTTTGCTACTGCTACTACGTGTTATACACCATTTTAAAGGTCTAATCCTACTGTTCATACATATGAAAGCTATGTTTATTACATTATTTAAATAATGCATTTACAACTTACCGTATTCGATGTAATAAGCGCCCACGGCGATATTTGCTAATATATTGGCTAGTGAACAATCCCAATTAGCATGATTAGCACCCCTTCCGATTGATCAATGTACACA